TGTTGACAAGGCACATAAAGAGCCAATGGCGACTGCATAAGTGGCTCCCTCCCATCCAATATACTTAAACGCCACTGGCAGAGGGCTGTTTTTGTCCAGCAAGTAGTAAGGCATCATCATAGTGAGGGCCGCCGACACGCCGAAGTACGCCACAAAACAGATGAGGAGCGAGGCCACAATCCCGATAGGAATGGCCCTCTGAGGATTCTTCACTTCTTCTCCTGGGGAGGAAATATAACTGGTGATGTCAGACGACAGGGCTCGTGTATGTTGATTAACAGTTTAATTTATTTCCTCTCACCTGTAGTGGCAATGCAGTCAAACCCTATAAAGGCATAAAAACAGGTGGCAGCACCTGAGAGGACCCCAGAAAAGCCAAAAGGAGTGAAGCCACCTTCACCAAGACTTTCTCTTGATGGTAACGAATCAGACATGCTGGAAGTAGAACAGAAGAAAAATAAATGTCCTCATTTAAGTCTGGTGTATCATTAGGCACAACATTGTGGAAACAAGCTCTTCATCACACCCACTTAAAGCTAGGGCTGCAGGTGGCATTGAGGATTTCTTCAGGGTTTACGTTCCAGTTTTTCAGGTTTCCTTTTACGAAGCCAGATATGATCACAAACAGTAGCACCAGTACATTGACGCAGGTGAATATTTTATTTACCAAAGCCGACTCCTTCACTCCAAAAGCAAGCAGTCCTGCAAGAAGTTTAAACAAGGCAACATTAAAGATGACATCCTACGGTGAAAAACACAAAAACAAAAAGCTTGAGATGTAAATCAACGTCTTCCTGACCCGTCAGTGTTATTATGACGAAGACAGCAAATATGTCTGGATATTCTGCCAGGACCCCGGGGGCGTTCATCGTCATGTATCGCCTGCAGAATCCCTCGATGTGCCTTCCAATCAGGTCATCAAATGTTGCACTCCATGCTCTAGCCACGCTTGAAATTCCTGTGTGGAGAAAAGCATTTATGTAAACTGAACAACAACTGGTGTTGCAGTTATTTAAAGTGTCTTACCCATGACATAAGAAAGGATGTGGGTCCAGCCTGTGATAAAGGCCCACAGCTCTCCGACCGTCACATAACTGTAGAGGTAAGCGGAGCCAGCTCTGGGGACACGAGCTCCGAACTCAGCGTAGCACAGGCCAGCCAGGACAGAAGCCAGGGCAGCGATGAGGAAGGAGAGAACGATGGCAGGGCCAGAGCTGTCTCGAGCTACGGCACCAGCAAGCACGTAGACACCAGCGCCCAGAGTACGGCCAACACCCAGGGCCACCACGTCAAACGTGTTGAGGCATCGAGGCAAGCGGGACTCCTCTGCATTACAGCCCACGACCTTCACCCGCAGGAGCTGCTTCCCGATGCCTTTTAATGTGGCCAGAGTCATCCTGGCTGGCACACTGCTCTGCAGTAGGCAAGTTACCTGCTGACATAACAGCACAGATCACTGAGATTACAATGCTTTAGTAAACAAAAGGAAAAAACAAAAAAAAAAACAAAGTGTTCCAGTCTTGTACGATACAGCTGTGTTCCAACTCTGACTACACATTCTAAGAAATAATAGCTTGGTTGATCATCAATAAATTAATGATTACCAAGTGCCAACTGACATTTCAAAGCCAATGCTTCCTCTTCACTGGTATTCACAGCGTAGACTCATCCACTTGAATGAGCATTTGGGTGGAGTATTATAGCACAAATGAAAGCGAGAACATTATTACCGGTGTATTTCGCATCATAATTGGGACTGACCCAGTACAATACACAACATCACCTGCAGTGTACTTGATCTGGTGTTGTTGAAATTCACACCCGTTGTCCTTGGACAACAACATAAGCCACAGATTACACAACAAGCTGTTTAAAAGTCTGACATACAGGGGCACTGTCTTTCTTCATAGCAACAGCAGCTTCTGCAAACATGACAGTACACAAATGTTAAAAGTGTGGGTACAACGGCCACATACATTGATCTCAGGAGAAAATATTAAGGACAGAGGTGATGATCTGCACATTGTGAAAATAGTCCCATCATTTTTTGCTCTTTAATTAAAAAAACAAACAAAAAAAACCAACCTGTGCATTGAAACAAAGATTTTAGTTTGATATATTTTGCAATAGTTTAAAAGTTTACCTACATGTGCAAGTGCAGTCCACTCTGATTCTGCTGGCTTTCATACCTTTTTAAACATACCTCTGACCAGGTTGTTTTTATGGGGAAAAAAGGTTTTTTTGATCAAGTGAAGATCATCAGTTTCAGAGTACATAGTGCTGAATTAGCATACTAATATAAGACAATCAATCTTAATAGTACAATTTATATTAAATACCATAGGTTACATTGTGGTATACTTGTAAATATGGTGCAGGGTCTAATTGTGGCAGTCCAAGATCCAATTTCAAAGCCCCTTCTAAAACGGCACAGCACAGACAGATCTACCTAACAATACACATAAGTACTCACTTTCACAACACTACACAAGACAGGATCTTGTTTCTTCACTGACAAACTGCTTCTTTCAGTTTATAAATCCACAGAAGAACTTTCTCCAGAGTGCAGGTGCCTTCTAATTTACAGGCAGCTTCAGGTGAACAGAGCTGAGAAAACCATTTACAAGTGCTGGATGAACATGTGAGACACACACACACACACACACACACACACCTCTGTGTACAAATCATTCGACTGTCCGGCCCACAAATAGACCAGTGACATTACATGTCCTTAGGACTCAGATGTTCAGAGCAGCTGTGTTTTGTTAGAATATTCATCCTAAGAACACAAGATTCAAGGACTAAATGAGCCGTAGTTGTACAGTGTAGATGACCACTGTGCAAGTTACAATAACCTGGACAGTTATCCTGACATTTCATTAGGCCAAAGGTCTGATTAGACCAATATGTGGAAGCCAAAACAGCCCTGGGGAGCGTCCACAATATGAAACCAGGAAAAAAAACAAAAGACAATCTGTAAACTAATGTGCACACTTCACATCAGTCAGAAACGTCTACAGAAGTAGGACACGGCAAAGTATGTCCTTTCCACGGTATGTCACATCCCAGCCAGTGGTTCTCACCACAGAAACATAGCATATACGTGATGAGATATGCACTGGCTGAGATAAAAATAGGGATGTGGGCAGGAAAGAACCCTGCCCCCTTCTCAGCCAATCACTGAACTCAACATCTGCTCAACACACAAGGATGTGTGGGTGGATTTAGAATAGCAGTCAAGTCATCTGCTTTTCACTGTTTGGCCGCAGGCAAAATACTGTCGCTGCCTGATTTATGTTACCAGTGACATTGTTTATATGCGTGAGAAGATCAGCACAGTCTCAATAACACCTCGATCATAAATAATAAAATAGAAAATAAATCTGAGCAAACTGGCTCAGATATTGGCAGTGTCTTGAGTTTTTTTTAGACACTAGAATATCACAACATTTTCTCATATTCTTTCAAAGTACATTCATATGAAAGATAGTGTTCCACTGTTAAATTAACCTGTAGCTGACATGCACTCAGTCAAGCACTAACACTGGACCTGTGCATCTGTGCTGGCTGAATTCAAATGATGCTGCAAATGTTTCATTCATTACATACGACAGACACCTGCAGAACCACCTGTGTTTGGGGAAACACAGGCTCTAAAGACTGGAGTAGGCATGAATTTGAGAAATGCTGCCAACTACCTTTAATTACTGTTTTCTCTATGTATTTAAAAGAATGAAGACAAACAATTCAGAAACCACTGAGTTTTCAATTGGCCCGGTATTTAGCAGTGCTACAAAAAGTCCACCTGCCTTTGGTGGTTCGATCCCCAGCTACACCGCAAAGTGCCATGTGAGGGCAATCGTGAAACAAGCCAAACAAACTTTCCTTTCCAAAGGTTTAGGTCAGAGACACCTGTAGGGCTGGGCTGACCCTATAAAGCTATGAATGCCAAAATTAAGCAACACTTATAATGGCTTCTACTATTTTATGCACTCACAGAAGTGGGTCGTGCAACACCCACATTAATGACCCAATTAGAACTGAAACAATGCACAAAGATAAATGTTTACAGAGACCTCAGTACTTCAGTTTCTTAGCACTTTAATGCCTGAATGTACTGTAATACTCTGCAAGGATATCTGAGCTTGTACACAGCCATGTCAAACATTTGTAACTGTGCATCACTACATGCACCATCTTGCATAAATCATCTATACTGCAGTGCCAGGACAGGCTACATTTTAGCACAAAATATGCATTTCAATCCTTATGATAAATGTTATTCAGTAGTTACACTGATCAGCAACAACATTAAAACCACTGGCAGTTGAACAGTGATGATCTCATTACAAGAGATGGGGTATATTAGGCAGCAAGTGAACAGTCAGTTCTTAAAGTTCATGCACTGGAAGCAGGAAAAATGGGCATGAATAAGGATCCAAGTGACTCTGACAAGGGCCAAATTGTGATGGCTGGACGACTGGGTAGGAGCATCTCCCGACCCAGTCGGGAGGTCTTGCAGAGTGTTCTCAGTCTGCAGTGGTCAGATCCTAACAAAAGTGGTTCAAGGAAGGCCAACCAGTGAACCGCAAAGAAGACCAGCCCATTTGGTCCAACATTTGGTCCAATTCCACAGAAAGACCCTGACCCTGAACTTAAACCACTTCAATCAATCTGAAATTTAATATTTACAGTTTGGGAACTTGCTTTTGTCCTTGTAAGGACACAGTCTCCACAATGAGACTATAAAAACAGATTTATGTCTCAACAACATGAGTGATGCCAGACTCCACCCCCAGTACTCCCAGTAATAGTATCATCCATAATGTAGATTGTGAAATGTTGACAACCAAGCTTAAAGCCAGGGGCACTGGAAAAGACAGTCCTCTTTGAACTCAGCTGACATAACCCTGCAGGCTCCATATTTAGTGTACTGTATCTTCATCGATTGTATTTAGAGTAAGTAAATATAAGGATTGTACAAAATATATTGTCTACACATCAACTTTTATGCCCAAACAACACACACGTTTAAGAATCTAAATAGTTAACATACACATGATTTGTCTCAGATACACATCTGTCCAGTGGCTGGCATTTACAGTATTGTTCAAAATAATAGCAGTACAATGTGACTAACCAGAATAATCCAGGTTTTTAGTATATTTTTTATTGCTACATGGCAAACAAGTTACCAGTAGGTGCAGTAGATTCTCAGAAAGCAAACAAGACCCAGCATTCATGATATGCACGCTCTTAAGGCTGTGAAATTGGGCAATTAGTTGAAAGGGGTGTGTTCAAAAAAATAGCAGTGTCTGCCGTTGACTGTACAAACACAAAACTATGTTGTACAAACGTTTTTGTTTCTAGGATTTAGCAATCCTGTGAATCACTAAACTAATATTTAGTTGTATGACCACAGTTTTTTATAACTGCTTCACATCTGTGTGGCATGGAGTCAACCAACTTGTGGCACCTTTCAGCTGTTATTCCACTCCATGATTCTTTAACAACATTCCACAATTCATTTACATTTCTTGGTTTTGCTTCAGAAACAGCATTTTTGATATCACCCCACAAGTTCTCGATTGGATTAAGGTCCGGGGATTGGGCTGGCCACTCCATAACATTAATTTTGTTGGTTTGGAACCAACACTTTGCTCGTTTACTAGTGTGTTTGGGGTCATTGTCTTGTTGAAACAACCATTTCAAGGGCATGTCCTCTTCAGCATAAGGCAACATGACCTCTTCAAGTATTTTGACATATGCAAACTGATCCATGATCCCTGGTATGCGATAAATAGGCCCAACACCATAGTAGGAGAAACATGCCCATATCATGATGCTTGCACCACCATGCTTCACTGTCTTCACTGTGTACTGTGGCTTGAATTCAGAGTTTGGGGGTCGTCTCACAAACTGTCTGTGGCCCTTGGACCCAAAAAGAACAATTTTACTCTCATCAGTCCACAAAATGTTCCTCCATTTCTCTTTAGGCCAGTTGATGTGTTCTTTGGCAAATTGTAACCTCTTCTGCACATGCCTTTTTTTTAACAGAGGGACTTTGCGGGGGATTCTTGAAAATAGATTAGCTTCACACAGACGTCTTCTAACTGTCACAGTACTTACAGGTAACTCCAGACTGTCTTTGATCATCCTGGAGCTGATCATTGGCTGGGCCTTTGCCATTCTGGTTATTCTTCGATCCATTTTGATGGTTGTCTTCCGTTTTCTTCCACGTCTCTCTGGTTTTGCTCTCCATTTTAAGGCATTGGAGATCATTTTAGCTGAACAGCCTATAATTTTTTGCACCTCTTTATAGGTTTTCCCCTCTCCAATCAACTTTTTAATCAAAGTACGCTGTTCTTCTGAACAATGTCTTGAACGACCCATTTTCCTCAGGCTTTCAAATGCATGTTCAACAAGTGCTGGCTTCATCCTTAAATAGGGGCCACCTGATTCACACCTGTTATTTCACAAAATTGATGACCTCACTGATTGAATGCCACACTGCTATTTTTTTAACACACCCCTTTCAACTAATTGCCCAATTGCACAGCCTTAAGAGCGTGCATATCATGAATGCTGG